TGATTTAAAGGAAAAGTGAAGGAAAGGTTAAAAGTGGGAACCTAGCACTGAGAAAGAGGGTCTTGACTCCTGGTGGGGATCAGAAAAATGTCAATTTCCACTCTATTCCTGTTAGTTCCCTGAGGCCCCAGAGCGTGGGCTTGGACTGCTCCTGCATTGCCTCAATGCTTAGAATGGCACCTTGCACATGGCAAGCCTCAGCAAATACTTTGTGTCATTATCCAAGCAAGAATGACATGTTACATGGGTGGAGCATTTCTACGGTTTAACAGGTGCTTCCAGGAGCACCTCCTCCAGCCCCTCAACTCTCTGACCTATGTGGAGATTGTTCCTCCCGCTTTCCAGGCTCAGAGGGTTTAGCTGGTACATGGGAGGTCCCTCTAGGCCTTAAAGGTAGATCTGGGAGGGAGAGCCCAGGTATCCCACACCTTACTCCCCCAAAACCACCAGTAAATGGTGTCTTCAACCGTAGGGCTTCAGCCTTGTGAACAGCCGATTCCTTTCTTGACCCATCTTGGGAGGAAGTTTATTATCACTGTTGTTCGAACAACAGGAGATCAGATGATACTTTATATCCACATAGGAACTGTGCCCTGACATGGATGTAAATTCCCTTAGCGTTTCAACTTGCTCAACCTTAAACCTTTTCAACATTATTAACGTTTTCTCAGAATTCACAGGGAGTTTCCGCCGCCTTCCTTGGCGCTGCCTAAGGAGGTGGTACCAGAAACCTAACACTAGAGCAAGGGAGCCAAGGTGTCCTGGCAACGCCCGTCGGGGTGGTTTGTAAAAATCGGAGTCAGGCCTTACTGGCTGGGCTACGGCCCTCGGCCACAGGGTGCGGAGAACTCAAGGGCCTGAACTTGCCGCTGACATCTGGCTTCAGGACGTTGCTGGTGCAGCCATCTGGGAGCCCGAGTGCGTTGGGCTCAGGCATTTCCTCTGAGGACCAGTCCCCGTCTGCTTTGTGGGTGCCCGCGCCGGTCTGAGAAGCAGCCAGTGAACAAATACCTCTGTTAATTTTCTGTGTGTGAAGTAAAAGCATACATCCTAAGCACGTGCAAAAAAAAAAAAAA